GGTGGAGCTACCCTGCCGCAGGAGGAGCGCGGCGGGCACGTACGCTCTGCCTCGGTTTACGCAGAGGGCGGGGACTCGGGCGCGGTGTGATTAGCGCTGCTGCCAGACACTGTTGTGCTGGGGCTGTTTTCGGAGGGCGTAGAAGGGGCTGTCACTGTTAGGCCGATCAGATAAAGTCCTGAGCGCTCTGAGGACAAGATTTTTCTTTGCGTATCGGTACTGCCCGAGCCCCCTCGTGACAAGGCACGGGGAAAAGGGAATTACTTAGACCAGCTTCCCCAAATCCACTGCCAAGGGCAATCACCTGCCAGGATCAGTCACTCCCTGCTCTTCTCTAGCTGCTGTGCTCTGGAAGAATAACTTCATTTACTCTCTGCCAGTCCGCGACAGTGCTGTGTCCCCCTTCCTCATACCGTATTCAGCTGCAGTTCTTGCTTCTAAGAAGCTGCAAATCTCCATCCCCCGCTCAGCATAGCGTGAAGCTATCGGCACTGCGGAGAGAGCTGGCAGCAAAGCAGGCAGCCTTACACTGCGTGAGGTGATCCCAAGAAAGCTTAAACCCTTCCTCTTGAGCACGGCTTTAAAAGCACAGCTGGGACTGGGAAAGCTGTGGTCGGTTTCTGCTCAAAAACCACAAGCACAATGGGTTTTTCTAAGTCCTCTTTGTGTTTTTAGAGTAAATGGTTTACTCCTGACACCTATTTGCAAACCCAATAAAGCTGCTTTCATTAGCACTGGCTCTAATTTGCTCTGCCTCATCCATTGCTAAAATTCCTCTTTATTAGGGAAAATAGAGTGAGGAGGGAGAGATGTGGCTTCTGGGCTGGGAAAGTGGGAAGAGCAGGAGTTACTCAGCCAGATCTTCCTACAGCCACCTGAGAGCCCAGAGTAATTAACTGAATCATTACCCTGACCAGTACCTGTGAAGTACTGGCCCTCCCCTGTGAAGAAAGATGTGTGTGAATTGGCCACCCAGAACAGGGGTGGACTTGCCAAGAAGAGAATTACTCCTTCCCCTCTGCCGAGGGGCTGCTGGAGTCACCCCCCTGGCCGGAGGGCGCCGGCTCCCGGCAGAGCTGAGGGAGCGGCAGGAGCAAGGCGGGCCTGTAGCTGCTACACGAGCCGGAGGAGACAGTTCTGCCCCTCGAGCCGCTTGAAGTGCCAGGAGGCACAGAAAGAGCTAGGAAAGAGGTCTACCTCCCCCTTCAGCGGGTTTTGGGCACGCTAGAAGTCCCACCGCTGTCCCCACTTTCAGCCCCCAGACTGCTGGGCACACCTCAGCGCTCGCCTGAGTCTCGAAGGGCTCGGGGGCGCGGCAGCATCGCTGCAGCTGGGAAAGACTGACGGGCCAGGGAACTGGCCTGGCCCTGCATCAGAGGTGGCAGTGATTTACAGAAGAGATTTTAAGTCACTTGTCTGTGACCCAGACTAGAGGAAAGCAGACAGCTCCCTACCCCTCCCTTAAGGTTCTCCTCAGGCAGAAGCCAAGGGTAGTGTCAGTAGACCACAGCTGTATAAATGCTTTCAAACCATTTTTAGGACATTGTGATTTCTTACAGTGTCTTGAACCAAAGGTGTCAGGCCAGACTGGAGCGTTCTCCCCCTCCTAGATAAGGAGGAGTTACAAGCAGGCTAAAGGTAAGGCAGGTGAACACACAGGCACAAGGCATGGACCAGTAATTTTTTATTTGAACACAGTAAGTTTGAGGACAGCAGCGGAACTTCTTGAGTTCGTCTTGGTTTACGTCACAGCAGTAGGTGGCTGATACAATCTGGCTCGGAGCTGTTCGATCAGGAATCCATTTCCTTTTTGGTACAACCAGTCTCAGGAGGCGGAATCCTTCTCTGCAGTGTCTTTTGCCACCCAGGCTGGATCCTGCTGCTGGGCATTTCAGTCTTCACTTGGCCTCATACTTGTGCTTGATGTGTTTCCACAGTTTCTGTACGCAAAACACACAAGAAACCCCAACAGTAACCTCAGCCGGTTTTTCCGTGGTCCTGGGATAAAGCTTCACTTTAAAATGCAAGTTATCACGAAACCTACGCCCATAACGGGCAACAACGAGAGGGGAAAGAAAAGTTTGTAGGAAAACGCACCCACAAGTCCCACCGGCGCCCCGCGGGCACGGTCACCCTGCCCCCCCCTGCCCACAGTAGGCAGAGCCACCAGCCCCGGCTCATCCCACCCGTGGGGCAGGTGGGGGCCTGGACCTGGGCCTGGGGCTTTTAAACTGCCACCATCCCGCTTCCCCTGCCCTCCCACCCCGCTAGCCAGGGGTTACTCCAGCCGCATCGCCTCAGCCTCCCGCTCGGCCTGGAGAGGGCATTTCTGCTCCTGGAGATACAGACGTCTCCCACACCAGGCACTGAGACCTGCTGGCACAGTTGCTGCGCCAGGGCAAGGTGCGTGCCATGCTGGGCTGGTTGCTGTCGGTAATAATTTAGATTTTCCACAAAAAAAAGTTAACTCCCTCGATAATTTCATTTTCTAACCCTGGTTGAGAAAAATGAGAACACAGAAAATTAATGCTACAATTCAAAGAAGGAGTTGGGTGCAAAGCTGAAGTTCACATGTGACGCTATGTCAGCTTTCAACAAACAACTGCTGCTAAAAAGGAGACACGGACGCTGCGCCCGCTCTTGCTGTACCTCCTCAGCTCGCCCAACCCGCCGTGAGTTACTTCAGGGCGGTGAGGCTGTCGCTTTGCGCGGCACCAGCTCTCCGCTGGCGTCACGGCCTGGTTCAGGAGGCATGGCGCTGTCAGGGAGGGCGCAGGGCAGCTCTTCCCAGCCTCAGAACCACCGAGGTGGCCTGGGAAACTGCGCCCCGGGGGCTCCGAGAGCCCCGAGGCAGGCCAGCCCGGCGGGGCAGGGAAGAGGAGCGCTGGGCTGCGGGTGGGGACGGGCAACACACACGGGTCTTTCGTGCTCGGTGCGAGACGGCAATAACGACAGCCCTGCCCTTTCTCAGGGAACGCGTGGGGCATCACCTCATCGTGCCCGGGAAGCCGTGGTGTGACCTGTCCGTGGGACTCCGTGTCCGGGCGGTTCCTGTCCCACCACAGACGACGTGATCCACCTCACCTAACGGTCAGCCTGGGGCAGCAGACCCCGCTGCCCGCTCACCGCCCGGCACCCCCTCCCTCTGCTAAGGGCAGATGGCGAAAGGCCGCAGCCCT